GATTTGAACTCTTAAAAGTTTAAAGACTGAATAAAGTTAAAAATTCGAAAATGGTTTTAATGATAAATTTATTATTTTTCCCCAATTTTTGAAACCCTAAAACATAGGATTTTGGTGGTTACTTCGGCTGGCAAGGCACCGTAAGGGAAACACTATCGTGTAATTTTATTTTAAGTCGACCACTAAACAACTTGGCATGTTTGTTAAAAAGTTAAAACATCTATTATATATATCTTGTTAAAGTTAAAGGAAAAAAAATAAAAAAATGTTTAAATTATATTTAAACCCCAATACCATGATGGAGACCAAACAAGTCTTAATTACTAGGCTAAATCTAATATTTATAAATTAATTGCAACATTTTATATATATCAAATATTATAATTAGTGATAGAAAAATAAATAAAAATTGATTAGCTTGGACTTAAATCTGGACCAATTGAGAATATGATAACTCTTAATTCATTAAAAAAAATCTAATAGATTATTTATAATTGATTTAAGATTTTAAAATTTTAAAATTAAATTTATTTTTTAATGATTATATATATGAAACCATTAAAAATAATTTAAGATTCAAATTATAATCATAAGAAAGGATAATTTAAGATTCAAACTATACATTTATTTTTCGATTTTAAATTGTGCTTGTGAGTATGTTAAATACAATTTTAATTTAATTTTAAATATAATTATACATATAATCATTAAAAAATAAATTTAATTTAAAAAAACAGAATCTTAAATCAATTATAAATAGTTTATTAAATTCATTTTAATGATTTAAGTGTTATCATATTCTCAATTAGCCCAAATTTAAGTCGATACTAATCTATTTTTTCTATCGTTAATTATAATATATGATATATATATATATATATATATATATATATATATATATAATGATGTAATTAAATTGTAAATATCAGATTTAGCTAATGGCTAAGGCTTGTATGGTCTCAAATACAGTCTGGGTTCAAATCAATTTAAACAATTTCAGCTTCTTTTCTTCTGCCTTTAACTTGAACAAGATATATATTTTAACTTTTTAACAAACATGCCAAGTGATTGAATATTATTTGATAATCAAATTTATTTAATTATTTATAAATTACATCTAAAGTAATAAGATTCAAGATACAATTCGAGATATCAGAAATAAACCAAATAAGAGAATAGAAACTAACCGCTGAATGAGTTAGAGCGTGAGCAACATCATTTGCTTCTCGAAGGATGAAAGTAATTTTAGTCGCAGGATGTACAGTGAGGAGTCTTCGAGCTTCGGACAGCTGGATAGTAAGAATGGAGAGATCAGGAGAGGTGGTGATCGGTCTTTCGCAATGTTTTGTCTGCTACTATTAGATATTTCTTAAACATAAAAGAAATTCACCCCTCAAATCACCTGCAGCGTATATTAGATATTCAAACTCAGCATGTTTAATATTTCCACAAAAAAATATTACAGATGAAAGTATTAAATTGATACATTCTAATTTCATGATTTGTTATTTTATCTATAAATTTATTTTAATAAGACACCATCAGATTTTGTAGTTTCTATATAAATTGAAATATTTTATATGAAAGCATACTTTTAAACCTTCCAAATGAAAATCCACAGCAATTGTTTATTTATTTTCACTTTCATGTTCATGTTTAGTTTAGATTAGGGATTTAAATTACAGTTGCAGTTCGGTTTCCGATCATATTTGAGTTTATCGTAGTTCTGAACATACCGGATGTTATTGTGATTATTGTGTGTTTTGTGATCGTGATTTTTATTTTTAAAGTAGGTGATATTTTTATGGAAGGAGCTTATTTTTTTTCAAAAAAGAAAAAGGTAAACTACATGGGTGGTCCCTTATATTTTTGGCCTGTCAAAATTTGGTCACTAGTTAAAAAAATGATTTTGGTCCCTTACGTTATTGGTCAGTTTAATTTTAGTCCGTCAATTGTTAACTCCAGTTAATCCATTATTAGAAGTTTGAGTTGACAATTAAATTTTTTTTTGTGTTTTCTCTTCCTCTTTTTCTTCCATAATCGAAAAAGTATGTTGACCCATCTTTCAATTCTTTTCTAGAGTATCCTTTTGCCCTTGATTCAAGGTTGTTTCATCTTCAAGTATCTCATACCCACTAGAAACAATATTCACTTTAATAGACCAACTATCATAATTATCTTTTGTAAGAAATGGATAATGAAATGGAAGTGAACGTTTCTCCATAATCTAGATCTGATATCACTTTGTTGAAAAATAAAAATATATGAATTTTCTCAAAAAAAAAAAAGAGAAAATTTATTTAGATAACCTTTATATGAAGTATTTTCTTTTTATTTCCCACAAATATAATATGTAATACGATAGGTATTTATAGGGTTACATGCATAATAACCTATACTCAAACATTAATGTTAATAACCCACTTAATTAATTAATTAAATTGGCATGCATTTAATTCTTTATTAAAAAGGGATTGTTGAATCATGGAGAGCTTTAAGAGAAATTGACGTTGCTATATTCAGTTGAGATAAATCTTTGGGCGAAGAATCCGAATTAAAAATATTAATGGCATAAAAAACGAAAGTATTGTGCATATTAATATTAGAGCCAAATGAATTAGAAGCTAAGGTTAGTTGAAGAAGATATTACGAGCAATGAAGCTTAGTTGATATATAGTTACCAATAGAATTAATACATTAAAAGTAACATTATCTTTCGCACTCTCTCGCTTATCATACAAATGGAATCATACAATAAGATTACAACATGGCTTCCTTCCCTTGACACCTATAGTGAAAGGTACATGTTTCTTTCATGGCCTCTCTTAATCTTATCCAACAAAAATAACGGCAACAATGTAATCTGAATTTTCAGTGTATTTGTGTGTATAAATAGTATATAAATTAATAAGTATTAAAATATAAATATAATATAAAAAGTTATTTGAATTTTTAATGATGACATGTCATTAGCTTATGGTGATACGTCAATATCACAGTTAAGTTTAGGGGTGAGCATTCAATCGAGTCGAGTAAATTTTTTTTTGAGTTATTCGAGTTGACGAGTCATATTTTATGACTCGAACTTAACTTGAAATTTTTCCGAGTCGAGTTGTTCGAGTTTCTATATAAATTTAATTGTAATTGTTTATAATATTATAGTACGAATTTATTCCAATTCTCCAAATTTCTCTAACCATATAAGATTTATATATATTTCTTTATATTCTTTTCATATTATAATATTATTTAATATATCACAAACAATCTAAAATTATAAAATATATTTACAATATTATATTTTAAAGAATGTATTTTGAGGATAATAGATTGATGGGTCAGAATTGATGTAAAGAAAGAATTTGTAAACAATTGAAGTCAAAAGACTAAATTAAGTAAAATATAAAGTTAAAGGATTAAATAAAAAAAGAGTACCTTTAGTAAAAAAAAGAATCGAAGTTACATAGGTATTCTATAATAGTAAGGGAGCATGTAGTTTAAATTTGGTAAAAAAACGTACTTAAAATGAAGGAGGAATTGAAGAAATGCGGAAATCATACAAAATTGAAGGACTAAATTAAAAAAAAGAAAATTTGTTATCAAAAAGTAGAATTAAAAGTACATATGTATTCTATAATGGTTTAAGAACATGTGATTCAAATTTGATAAAAAAATGACTTAAAATGAAAGATGAATTGAAGGAATAGGAAATCAGGAACCAAATTGCAAATTTGTCAAAATACTTATCCAAATTTTTAATTTTTAGAATTACTCAAAATTTGAAATTTTAACTCTACTTGAACTCGAAGATCGAGTTTATAATTCGAGTTGACTCAAATAACTCGAATTGAAAAAAAAATCAACTCTAGTTGAGTTTTGCTCACCCCTAGTTAAGTTTTAAACAACGAGGTACCAAAATAAAACTTAAACTAAATATTAAGTATGATTTTTATCTTAAAATAAAAATGATCAAACATATCTTAGTTATGCATGGAGCAAACTCATTTAGCCCGTTAACCAAATTGTTTATCTTTATTCCTCATGTTTTGTTATGGGTTTTAGAGTCACTAAAAACATTCATCTTTTTTTTTTTTTTTTAAAGTTTATCTTTCCTTTCCATCTACATAAGAGTATGATTAAATTTAGAATTTATAAAAAAAAATATATACAAGACATAAATGATAAAAACCGGGTCATTTAGTTAGTTAATACTTAATAGGGGATTATTTTGGTAGATAGTGTTAAAATGGTATCTATGGGTTAAAAAGAATCATTAACATGAAAAATTATTTTATGAGCTCTCCTCATAAGATATAAACCCAATCAATAATATTAAATCATATCAACAATTCTTTATTAATCATCATTAAATTTAGACTTAAAATTTTAATTATTTATTTACTTCCATAGCAGCATTAAATTTTTATCTTTTCTTCAACTTCTTAATTCCCATCCCCATTCTCTTTGTTAACTACAATCACCATAGTCACCGTCACTACCCTTCCTTCTTTTCAATGCTTGGTATCTAAAACCGTAATCTTTTGCCAAATACTCCAAGATTTTTAACTGTTGTGCACGTTTTGTGCCTGTTGATGTGCTTTCTAAGATTTGTAATCGGATGCGCGATGTTTATGGTAAAACCAAACTTTTGAAGAATGAAGAAACTATTATGGATGGCAAAAACTCGAGGCTTAGTAGATGTAATTAATCTCTTACAATATTATAATAATAAAAAGAATTGCAGTGACAGTAGTAATGATGACTGTGGTTAACAAAGAAAAGAGGAGAGGAAGTTTGGAGGTTGAAGAAGATACAGAGATTTAATATTGATATTAAAATAAATAAATAATTAAAAATTTAAGTCTAAATTTAATGATGATTAAGAAAAAAACTGTTAACATATTTTAATATTATTAGTTGGACTCGTATACTACGAGAAGAGTAGGATTCATAAAATAATTTCTCCATTAAGATGATTGGGTGTTTCACTTTCCCTTTCCCTGCCAGCCAAAGTAACCACGCAAATCCTCTGTGTTAGGGTTTCCCAATTAAAAAAAAAAATGAAACATTCACCATTAAAACCATTTCCAAGTTTTAACTTTATTCAGTCTTTAACCGAGGAGCCGAGAGGAAAGCTACAATGGAACCATCAATCAGCAAACATGGACCAACACCAAATACTTGCAGACTCTTTCAACTCCCTCACCCTATAATTTTGGACATTCTCTCAAGGCTTCCCATCATTGACATTCTCCATTGCAGGTGCGTTTGCAAGAGATTCCTTTGTTTCATTTCTGAAGCTGAATTTGCATGGCTCCACCTTTCAAGATCACCCCTTTGCATTTTAATCAACTCTAGGCCATTCCAAAAATCTCGAAAGAAACTCCAGTTATCACATGTTGATGCCAAGGGTGAAGGTTTCCAGGTCTCGCAACTCAACTTTACACCCATATCTAATGTACCCACTTGGGATATTTCTGATATAAGTGCTTGCAATGGTTTACTTTGTTTAGTTGGACCCAAAAAAGGTGATCCCTTCTACGTCTGTAACCCAATTTTGGGTGAATTTTTCACTATTCAACAACCTTATAAAGATAGTCTAAGAGATAGGTGTTGGGGGCTTGGTTATTCAACTGTTACTAATCAATACAAACTTTTGCAAAGCTATTTTCCGACAGTTGAATCGACTGGAAAAACGGCTCGAATATATACGGTTGGGACTGGTACATGGAGAAGCATAGGAAATGCACTTAATCATCCTATTGCTTTACCTTTCAATGCCTTCTTGAATGGAGCTCTTCACTTTCGTAATTATCTTCCTAGAGTTGGTGAGTTCATACATTCTTTTCACTTTGATACTGAGCAGTTTGGGACAGTTCCACCGCCCGATCATTTTCTAGAATTAGATAATTTTGATGCGGAGTGTACAACGAGTGGTGTGCTTGGAGACTGGCTGTTTATAACTTACTTTTCGAATTACCGGCAAATTGACATTTGGGTTATGAAGGAATATGGTGTGAAGGAGTCGTGGACCAAACAGTTTGTTATTCGAGATATATTTCCATATGGCTCGGGTTATTATGAACCAATGGTTGTTTTAAGAAATGGAGAAATATTCTTGTTGCTCAATACTCAGACTATAGTTTGTTACAGCCAGAAGAGGAAACAAATTGGAGGAACTAAATTCTTCAAGATTCGCTCACTGTTGGATGCAATTGCTTATACTCCATGCTTTGTTTCTCTCTACAATGTTGCAAAAGGAGAGCAGGTCTCCAGGTACTATAACATAATCCTGAATTTAGTTTATGCTTTGTCAATTTAGAAATTTGCAGCCAAGGCCGTGAAACCTTAAACTTAAAGTAACAAACCCTTTTCTTCATTTTTCGCTGATATGGAATACTTGTGGATTTGCTTTTGTATAAAGTGAGTGCAAACTGGAAATAGATCTTTTCTTTGTCTGAGGTTTCGATAAGTTCTGTGGTGCTACAGGCACAGAGTTATATTAGTTCATGAATATAAATGCGTAGGAATGTTGATGCAGGTGTAGCATGAACATACATCTTGAAGATAATGTCTTTGATGCTATTTTAATGATAGATAAGGGTTTTAGCCATTTAAGGCTAGAGTATAAACTGCAGTTTTTAGATGATTGGATGACATGCTTGCTTGATGCTTGAGTTGTTAGATACAGACATGAACTCTTGTTTTCTGAATCCATATACAAATTACACAGTTCTCTTATGATGTATTGCTGTTGTTAATTAATAAACTGAAAAAGTTTATGTAGGATGCGGAGCACCGGAGTCTATGACAAGATCTGTAAAGATGAGTTCCTCTGGCTGTAGTTTTCCTTTTTTCTGGGGTTTCCCATGGAGCTGTGAATGACCGTGTGAGTTTTATTGTTTTCTTGAGTTTATACATACGAGTCTCCCATTCAATATGCATTTGTCTGTTATTTAATGATACCTGAACAGTAAACTTTTCAAGCATATCTAGACGCAGGAAGCTCGGAGATCTGATGCACAGCTTGTCATGTAATTGGTAACCAAGTTGTTCTCCGAAATCATTGATGTCTAACCGTCTAAGTCTATGAAGTTGAAAATGCTAATGAATTATGAACCTTTATTTATGATGTAGCAATTAAATTCATGGAAATTATATTGAGTTCCAAGACTGAACTTTATGTATCAATTCAGACGCTGCTGCTTTTGTTTCTTGTAATGAGTTAATTTAATGTTGAAGCAGTGTAAGATTAGTATGCTAAATAATTGATTTATCCGGCTTAGGTGTTCATTTAAACTTGGGACTGGCATGGCTTGGTCATTTGAAGTGATCTTTGAGTCCTCTTATCTTAGAAATGAACTTCTCAGGACAGTGATGCAGCATAATGACATCGACCTTCAATTTAATCACATTGTCTATTCTATTTTGAGATGATTCAAGTCTTATCCTGATCAAAAGACGAGGGATATTGAGAGTTTTCATCTATTGCAACAATCTTACCCCACCTGACTCCAATGTTCTTGAAAATTTCCTAATTCCATGAATGAATTGGAATCCCCTCACAAATAACCCATGCATAATTACTCTCCATCATTAGAATTTTCGACCAAGGTTCAGTTCTATAGAACCACTCTTTGAAGGTTTATGTTTTATTGATCTTCATTCTTTTCATCTAATTAGAGTTATCAAATACCAATAAGACAACATCTCCAACAACTCTCATAATCGAATAGCCAGATAGACCTTTACCATGTGGTTGGCTTCCGACTGTAATGAAATTCTTGCACCAACCCACCAAACAATTGAAGGTTTGCTTTGCCAATTACCCCTTCCACCGACTTGTATGACTTTTCTTCTTACTGTTTCCCAGCAAGGCTTCCGATTGTAACGAATTCCTTGTGTAAATATCTTTTCTTTTGACTTGTATGAACTGGAGTCTTTCTCCAATATGATTTAGTCATAGATACACCAATTCTATTGCCATAAATGTAAGAGTCATTCGGCCTTGAAGGTGCTCTTCTGGCTTCTTCAAGAGTAGCCAAAGCGAGTTCCTCCTATGCTTCTTCTGGTTGGAATGAAGGCATCAATCACGTTTTATGATCCCAAAGCCCCGTCCAATGAAGTTTCTCATGTAAGTTATTGTTGAGCAACGTGAAACATTCATTTCTATTACTATAAAGTGCGTTTGGTTCACGGAATATAAGATTACCAGTGGGAATAAAAGATTACCAGGGAATAGGAATACTGAGAATGTTGTATTTTGTGTTTGGTTGGTTTAGCAGGAATGTAAGATTACCGTGTTTGATTAAAGGAATAAAATATTATTGAAATGTATATTTGACCAAATTGTCCTTATTATATATTTGTATAATATTACAAATTGTTAAATATTTATATATTTTATTTAAAAAATTAAATTCATAATATTTATATAATATTTTTTACAAAATTAAAAATATAAAAAATGTTTAATGAAAGGGTAAAAAAAAAATTTAACCCCTAAACTTCATGTAAAATTTTAATTATATATTTTTTTTGTAAATCTAAAATAATTTAAGGATAAATTTGTAATTTAACCTTCGTAGAATATTGACAGAAGAATGATATTTTTGGAAAAAAAAATAAAAATTTAAGGATATTTTAGTCCAAAACGTCGGTAATGTTACAATACCTAAGGGAATGGAGGTAATGACATTCCCGGTAATATACCTAAAAAATTTACTATTGGTAATAAAACATTATCGGAAATGATATTCCCGACCAACCAAACATGGGAATGTGGGATTCTCATCCCATGGGAATCCTACAATCCTTGAACCAAACACCCCTAACTATTGTTTAGATGGTTTTCATCCTTTTCATTCCACCAATTTTTTTTCTATGATTCTTCAGCTGCTATCGTCGACGTTATTCCTTCTCCTACTAACCCCGTCGCCCATTGAAATTATATCATATCCTTCTTTTGTTTCAGTTCGTTGATATATCATTCACTTGTAACCTCAAAATTGACCTAAAAATAGCAATTATTGATTTGAATACATAATTTAATCAACCCATTTAATTTTTTGAAAAAAGCTTTTTATATATATTGGGTGGGGGTTAGTATCTACCTAAAATATTTTTAGTTTTACACATTTAAGAATGATGGGTGTGTGAAAATAAACGGCTGATATAGGCCTGTAAATAAACTTAACGTTCAGTGAACTGTTCTTGAACCGCGCAGCGGGAAGTTCGTTTATGTGCGTTTATTTATTAAATGAACGAACATGAACAAGATTTTGTGTTCGTTTAATTAAATGAACGAACATGGACATAGGTCTCGTTCGTTCATTTACGCTCGTGAACGTTTGGTTATGTTCGGTTATGTTCGTTTATGTTCATTCATTTATGTTTAACCCAATCTTCTTAAATCAATTTTGGTGACCAATTTGTAAGTATCTTAAAAATATTAATTAATCTGATATTCTGATGACCAACTCCATATTTAACCCAATTTTATTTGGAGATTAAATCCAATATGCTAACGCGTGAGGCACCTCGCACCTATATTCATTTTCCCCCTTTTTTCCCAAACCCTAATATTAACTGTAGAGTGAAGACGATCGCTGAAAGCTTCAAAACAAGTTATATTATAGTGCAATATGAAGTTTACAGGTCTGTTTTCATCTCTTTCTCTGTTTTATTTGGCTTAATAGTTGATATGTAAAGTTATTGCGGGTATCTTCACATCTAAAACTCAAGAAAACATCATACTTCTTTCTAGAAATAGATGGGAAGATAAAGGTAACAATCAGAAGTATATGAGCATCAGTAAAGAGAAAAATATAATAGAATTTGTCAGAAAACAAAACAAAGGTTTCTATGCAATTTCTGAAAAAGAGTATAATAGCGGAAATAATGGGTTTTCCAGGAATAACCCATTAATAAGTAGAAAATACACTTTGACAATGAACTTTTGTTTTCATAGTTCTTGTCTGACCTTTAGTTGTGGAGTAAACTTTAGGTACGTTAAAATTTTGAATGGTGGTTTAGCAATAATATCAGTTACGATATGTAGCATCGAAGGGATTTCAGATCTATGTTATTGCCTTGTAGTCCAATTTGTACCGTTCGAAATCTTTATGCTGTTAAATTTTCTACTATGCCAACGGAAAGGGCCATTATTAACAAACCTCACTAAAGTCTGACATTGATGTCACAAAACTTTTAGCCGGCAAATTTATTAGAATAACATTGATTTGGTTGATTTGCATTGTCGACTATTTTTCAAATGTTTATGTTCATTTATGTTCGTGTTCGTTTATGTTAGTTTATTTATTAAATGAACGAACATGAACAATTTATATTCCTTAATAAATGAACATGAACAAAATAAATTTGTTCGTTTATGTTCGTTTATTTATTAAATGAACGAACATGAACATATCTCCGTTCGTGTGAGTTCAGTTCCTTTTATAGGCCTAGGCTGAGATTAATTTTTTTTTCATTGAATATATTCTCATTTTTTATTGTTAATCTCAGTTATTTATTTTTACTCATCAAACAATTTAAACATATGTAAAAGTAAAGAGTTTTACACTGTGTAATTGGATCATATATATACTTTTAACTGTTTAAAGTTCTTTTGCTAAAATAAATGTCATATTTCAGTTTGTTTCCATTTTAGGGTAGAATTATCGACCTACGTTAAAAAAATCCATCATCCAAAGTATGAATGACACGGCTTAATTTTTAATTTTTTTAACTTAAAATCTTTAATTTTCTAAATCCTTAAAATCTAAAAACCTTGAAATTCATAAATCTTAAATCATGAATTTCCTAAATCCATTCTCTTATCACCACTAAATCAACCACCACCGCTCATCCTTTTCGTTCTAGGACTCGCGCTATTGATTATCCCGCTATTTCGTCGTCGGAAGTCGACGGACAAGGCACCATAAAAACCAACGATAAACGACCTGTGATGATTTATTGTATCACTCTTTTATTGACAAATGACTTGTAGTGAGAAGAGAGGAGGAGACTAGTAGGTTCTTCATTGTTCGGCGATGGGGTGGTGTTTGACGATGATTTTTTTAGAAATTAGAAATTCCAATTTTCTTCAAATAAAAAAAATCAAAAGACATTAAAATTCAAGCAGCTTGTTCCTAAATTAAATCTTATCTGTATTAAAATCAGTGTTATAATTATTTGATTAGATTGGAACATACAAACAATGCAAAACTAATATCAACAACCGAAGAGAAGAGAGCAATTAAAATGATAAAAAGGTAGGTTGATTTTTTTTTTCCAGATATATTGATAAGAGAGAAATGCAATGAAAAAAAATACTCCAAAATATGTAAAATGTAAAAAAAAAATCAAATTTGATTAGATTGATTCGGAAATTAATAATAGTGTGAATTGCATGATTATGTTACTTTTGTTTCATTTTGATCATTCAACTATTATATTTTTTAAAATTATATCTAATGTTACACTTTAATTTCATTTTGGTCTAACATCTTAAAAAATTAACAAAATTATTGACCTAATAATTTTTTTAATTTTTTCAACAATGACATTATCTTATGATGACACGTCAATAATACTATTAACTTTTTAACAATGTGTGGCCAAAATAAAACAAAAAATATAATATTAGATATAATTTTGAAACAGAAAATAATCAAGTAAACGAAAAACAAGTGATAATTAAAATACTATAATTTCCCAAATTGGATGGCCATGAAAATTTTCATATAAACCTTGAAAAACATGAGCACTTTTATTTATGTTTTTTTTATTTCCCACTAAAATTCAACTTTCAAAAAATCTCTTCCCAATCTTTGATTCTCTGACTTTACCACGTCATCCCTCCTAAAATCCCATCCAATTTTCTCATCTTTCTAACCAAGTCAACCCCACATTCATCATCCTTTCCCAACCAATCAAATCCCTCCACATCATCATCCTCGTAAATTTCTTTAACCCCCAATGAAAAATCACTCCAAGTTTTTTTGCTTTGTGGTTTCCCCTGCCTTATTTCCGGCGAGCCGCAGTAAACGTTTGGAAAACAATGGTACCGGTGGCCGGTAATTCATCCATTGCAAAACTCCGAGGCTTGAGTCCAAGCGGTTCAAAAGCATGCGCCACCTTCGTCCAAACTTCACGGCTACATCCCGTCGTCGAGACTGAAATCGTCGCCGGCATAAAAACCTGAACGGCTTTCTTCAACGTCACAACGATGTCATCCGGGTCATAGTAAACTGACCCGACGCACTCGAAGCTAGCGTAGCTAAACCCATCTTCTGGTGTAACATGGATGGTCGAATAACGATCACCATCAATGCCGTTCATGGAGTAACCGCAAGGATCAAAAGCAAAGTCGCAAATGAAAGCTCCGGGGTTGATGGTATCAATCCTCGTCAGCTCCGTCATTTCTTTACCGCCTATGTCCCCCGTTTTCCCGTCCCCGGATTTCACGAAGAACTGACGTGCAAGGTGGTGGTTAAGTCCCGTCATGCAAACTTCGACGATGAAAGTAATGTCTTCGTGGTGGGAATGGGATTCCAATGGCGGCAAAAAGGTAGCGGTGAAAACGTGCCATGAATGAGCAGGGAGTTTGGAAGGCATAACGGAGGCTTTACGATAGCAGAGATTGATGGGGATGTTTTGTTCAATGTAAATGACTTCTTCTTTGAAGCTGGTGTGTGGGAATGGTTGAGCTTTGGGGAAGATGAAGTTGCCTCTGGTGTACCTACAGGTCTGCAAATTGAGGCCAAGATTGTTGGCATAGTGAATCAATGGAGGGATTGATTTGAGGAGTTGGGTTGTCCCACAGGTTTTGATAATGATCTTTGTAGGGTAAACAAATAAGCTGGATTCAGACAAAACGTAGGCATCAAAGAAAGGATTCCCAACAGCTGATACAACACTGCATTGCACAGCAAACAGGACTTGTTCACGTGAGTCAAAATCAAGCACCCTAAGCCCCAACATGTTGTCTTTCTCAAAATCACCCAAGAAGTGGAGCTCTAGGCGTTTTTCAAACCCCGAAACTGCCATTTTTTTAAATGCAAAAACAAAACAGCAAGCAGGATTGAAGAAGAAGAGGTGGGAGGGAGAAGAGAAAGGAATATGGGAATTTATAGGTGGGTTAAAGGGGGCGGCATGCGATTCAGGCAACCAAGAATCATGATTGCAGCCATAATGAAGATGATTAAACAAGAGTATTCACTGTTAAATTACTTGCTCAAAAATGTTTTGTATTTATTAAAATCAAGTATAGACTTGAGTAGCAAAAATAACCTAATATAGGAAAGGAATAATTATACTTACAAACCAAGTGACAATACTAATAATATTCTCCTTGTTAAATTTGTGTTATGTTCTGCAGTATATATATTGGAAACGGGCTTTATATAATTATACCCATGCTCACACAGACGCATATTCTTATTCTAAGAGATTGAATTTTTAAGATTTTAGAATGTGACAAATTTATAAGATATTAAAGGATAAAAATAGATCATTAATTTAAAATAAAAATATTTTAAATATATATTAATTTAAATTTTTTAGAAGACAGATTGTACACTTCCTTCAATCCATTCTCCTAGCTACTACTGTCTGCTCTCATCACTCTTTGGCTCCATCGCTATCATATTCAATTTAAATATTTTATTACTCAAGTTTAAATAATTTAAGATTCTAGTTGAATAGGGTGATTATAAGATAATATTTATTTATAATATTTCTTAATCATTAGTAATGCACATACCCTGCAGACATAACTATCAGTACTTAGGACCTCAAATAAGAACATCATTCCCTTTAACTATTAAGACCATATTTTGGTTGATTTTTTTAAATTCTTAGTTAATATTAAAAAAACATAATTTAAAGTCAAATTCCTTTTTATAATTTCGTTAGTAAAGCTATATATTATCATCTTAACGGATAAATTCTAATTAACTGAATTTTCATTTAATTGATATTTGATTTTTAATGGGATATTATTCAACTCCTTTTCTTTTTCTAAGTGCTACGTAGTAATTAAAGGATGATGCTGTCTGGGGAACTGATTATGTATATTTGAGGGAGGGGCCGTGACACAATAATCATAGTCATAATCCTTGTTCGTTTTTATGTGAAGATTTTTAAGAATTTTTCCTCAGATTTATACTTCACTTGCTCTACCTTTAATTTTTTTTTTCTTCTTTCAAACACTCACTACTGTCGGCATATTTTGTAAGCAGAAAACATAACATGATTAATGCCGAATTTTTGTGAGTTGTGAATGAAACTATAGAAAAAGAAAGAAAAATTTTTAATGGTCTAAAATGCATAATCTAAGAAAATATAAGGAAATAAAGATGAGTAGCTTAATCAACCCATCAAATGTGCTTACTCATAATTTACGTTATCTTAATCTAAATAAAATATTTAACATAAATAATGATTTTTATGTACATATTCAAATACACCATATATGTATATATATATTGAACATAAATATTTAAAAATAAAAAATCCGAGTAACTATTTCTTATGAGATTTGGCATGGCTTGTCAAATTATTGACAACTTTTTGGTAAGTCGTTTTGTTAATTAAAAATAGGGTAATTTATAGTTTAATACTTAAACTATTATTTTTGTTCCATTTTGTTATCTCGTAGTTGAAAAATTAACGGTGATTTTGACGTATCACCATAAGATAATGTCACATCATTATTTAAAAATAAAAATATCACGACAACAGTTTTGTTATTTTTTTAACAGCGGGTTACTAAATTGTAATCTAAACTAAACGTTAGATATGATTTTGAATAAAAAAATAAAATTTGAGTATCAAAACAAAAGTGATAGTTTAAGTATTAGACATGTAATTTACCGTTTAAAATATTGTCAAAAATGGAGGGGTTTGAAGTCGAAGTCCCATTGAAAAGTAGCAAAAATGAAGTTCATTGAGACAAGAAAGAGGAGTATTATTAGGTCAAAACCTATGGAGAATTACTACAGTTTTAAGTGATTGGAATGGAGTTTTAAAAGAGCAACAACAGCAACATAATCATAGGATGGACCAAATGTCTCAAAGCAGACCAAACAAATAATCAGTTTTGCAAATTGGAAATGACCGGTGATGCTTAATTTGCTGTTGCATAGATGTTTGCTACAGGTTATATGAAAATAAAAATATGTTTTACAACTGCACATAATTTAAGATATTAAAAATATCCATAATTGACCCATATTATAATTTTTGGTATAATACAAAAATTAACCCCAATATTTATCAAAATAATTATTTTAACTCTTATTCTTTTTATTTTTGGAGATTTTGGCCGCCCACCAAATTTTATTTTAGGGCAAAAATGCATCTATTGTTTGATTGGATAATCACTTTGATCATTATTCTTTTTTTTAGAGTACTTTAACCCTCAATATTTTATTTCAGGGTAAAAAGATATATATTTTTAGTGTGTTAACGTTTTGTTAACAGACGATTTTCATTCATAGATGAATCTTTTTGTTTCAAAATAAAATACTGTAAGATAAATTACTAAAATAGATATAAACCAAAATTACTATTTAGTCAAACGTTGTATTATTTATTATTATATCAATTTTTTTTATCAACTTGAAGAATAGAAAGTTGAACCATTTTTTTTCTTTTTGGTAGGTTTAATGAAGTGATCGTAAGGCTAGCAAATAAAATGGATTAAAAGAACGTGCAATGAAGGTAATTAGTGGTTCGGCTACCTTTTGGAAGTGGTTTCCTGATTGACTTAAACTACCTTCCTTGTGACATTTTTAAGTCTCATTGGCTTCTTAATTTAAGACTTTACACAAAAGATTACAATAATAATAGCTCTAGTACATGATGAGCTCCAAAGTAGGGATGGCAATGGGTCGGGTCTGGTCGGGTTTTTGGGCCACCCGACCCGACCCGAGAAGAAAGAGTTTTTTACCCGTGACCTGATCCGACGAAATTAAGGTTTCACCCGACCCGACCCGACCCGAATATATGACTTAGAAACCCGACCCGACTCGACCCGAAATAATAATAAAAAAAAATTTATTCAATGAAAATAGTGACTTAATTGAAAAAAATTATATATGGAGGGACATTATTGTAATTATCCCTAAATATATAGGATAAAATTATATATATTTTCGGGTCGGGTCGGGTCGGATTTTTTTCACCCTAAACCCGACCCGACCCGAACAGTACATTTAAAAAAATCCGACCCGACCCGACCCGAACCCGATTTTTTTTTTAAAAAAATCCGACTCGATCGGGTCGGGTCAGAACCCGTCGGATTCGGGTTGAGTTGCCATCCCTACTCCTAAATAGCTTCCCCTCTAGAAGTATATATGGAGAGATACATGAACCAACAAATAAAAGAGTATTTAATTCAAAAAAAAATTATAACGCGATTTTAATAGTAAATAAAATATTATTTTTCTTTTAAAATTTTAAATTTAAATAATTATATCTATAAAATATGTATCTATATATTGTTAATTAATTAAAAAGATTCTAAACGAAAATTAGCTTAAAATTACTTCAAAGTAATAAGAAAAAACTTAAAACGAAAAGGATAATTGTATTGGGTGTCATTAATGATCTTATGGATGGCTGGCAATGGCAGTCAGCCACCATCATGACCTCAATCCGTCTTCTCTACCCTGCACGCTCACCCACCAAACCTACACATTATCTCTTCTCAAATATACACTCATATTCATATGGTTTTATACACAAAAATGGTCAAATTTTCCAACAAAAAAATATTCATATATTGAAATCGAATCTTACTAGGAAAATTTTTCAATTAAACCTTCGACGAAAATCCCACCCCTTTTCATCAAAAGATGAAACGAAAAATCTTGTTAGGATCTACTCTTTTTTGTTTCTTTTGAAAATTTGGGTCATTTGAATGTACGAAGAAAAGCATCTGTGTAAAAGGAAGCACACCGGGTATATGTATTATTGCTACGTCGTTTGTCTAATAGGTAGACCGCAAATTGAGTAGTGTTTGATTTGTATTCATTAAAAATTTGTTACTCGATTCATTTCATGATAAAATTTATTTGATTAATTGCTCGTTAAGATCACTTGAATTTTTACTTTATCTTTTTTAACTATAGGTAAAGTTTAGTAAATTAATAATTATTAATTACTAGTTCAATATATTTCTTGTTGTTTATTACAAAATTAATAAGTTAATAGTAATTGTATTTTCTGAATTAATTATCGATATCTGATCTGTTGACCGACTAATTCAAATCAAGTTTAGCAGAGACTCATTCTGAGGGCGACCCTCTCAAACCAATTTATTCCATTCGTAAATATTAGGGTTCAAACTTCTAACATTGTTTAAAGAATCTAATACATTATCTCACTAGACCAACTTCTTGTCGGTAAATAAGAGTTAAGATTAACAAAGAACACAAATGTGTGGCATATCCTTTTTTTTATTTGCATGAGGTGATTACAAAAATATATCTATCTGAAAGACTCTTAATCAGTTGATAATGAACGCTCAACTGTAACAACCCAGAAAAATTTAGAATAATATTAAATTGAAATTGGAGGTTAATTGTGAAAATTGGTAAAATTTTTGGGACTAAATTGAAATATTTTAAAACTTGGAGCTTGTTTTAGAGTTAAAGGAAATTCAGGGACCAAGCCCTAAATTTATCCTAAAAGTGTCGGCAGCTTTGGTGATTTAAGCGTGTTTCTGGTTTCAAATCAGAAACCACAAATGTTAAATTGCTTAAGTTTTTCTCCTCCCGTACCCTTACTTCCAAGCCCGATTCCGACGCCGTTCGACTTCCAATCGTAAAATTGAAACCACCTTTGTGTTCATCATCAAGCGAGGAACAAACCCTTCAAATTAATTGAAGTGAAACGCTGCCAAACGTCGGGAATTTTCAGTCAAAGCATCGTCGTTTTTTTTAGCTCTATCGCCGGGAAAAACTTAAATTCACCGCCGATCGTTGTTCCGTTTACGACACCTCATACATCATCGTGTTCCTTGTGTCGTTGCGAGTCCGCCG